GCTGTGGTGACGCGCTGCCGCCCTCTCTCCGCAGGCCGCCTACGACCCCTACGCCTACTCGGCCGACTATGACATGCACACGGGTGAGTGCGGGGCCGGGCCTGCGGGGCCTGCGGGGCCGGGCCGGGCCGCAGCTGCCTGACCGCCCCTCTCCCCCTCTCCCCCCAGGAGACCCGAAGCAGGACCTGGCCTACGAGCGGCAGTACGAGCAGCAGACCTACCAGGTGATCCCCGAGGTGATCAAAAACTTCATCCAGTATTTCCACAAGACGGTGTCGGATCTCATCGACCAGAAGGTGTACGAGCTCCAGGCCAGCCGCGTGTCCAGCGATGTCATTGACCAGAAGGTGTATGAGATCCAGGACATCTATGAAAACAGGTACAAAGCCATCCCTCCCTCGCGGATGGGCTATCACCTTAAGAAAGTGCACCCTGCTCGTAAAAGGAAAGCCTTGCCTGCTACCTGTGTGGTTCCAGACTAAGGCTGTCTCTAAAATACAGCATGAGGCTCGACCTGGTTACAGGGGAAAAAAAAAATCCACATATTTCCAGACCATTAGGTGAACATAAGTATAGGTGAGTTGTGGCCTGTCTGGAGTAAAATACCACTCCTGTGCATAACAGGTATAAAGGCAGCAAAAAGTCACCTCAGCAGTCTGTAGAAAGCTGTGATATGTAGTTTTTGTGCCTGCTGCCTCCAGATGCTGCCGTTCCTGCTCATATCTATGTTACCTTACCATAAAGGGAGTGTGAAATAACATGCTCACCTATTCCATACTTCAGGGGTAAATCAAAGCCCAGTTTGCCATTCTCATTCTTTGTTTCAACACTGGACTTACTAAAAGGGGGTGGTAGTGGTAGCTTATTTCTATCAAATCCAAGGCCTCTACATTGTCATCTCTAACTCTAGCACTGTTGTACTGAGGAATGGTTCCTGATTCCACATGTGCTTGTCTTATCTTTCAGCTGGACAAAGCTGACAGAAAGGTTTTTTAAAAATACCCCATGGCCAGAGGCTGAGGCCATTGCCCCTCAGGTTGGAAATGGTAAGTCCTTTACTTCCTTTTTGGTTGTCAGAGAGAGAAGGGTCTAAGTTACTTCTGATACTTGAATGAGCCAGTGCAGAGCACTCCTGCCATCTGAGTTAGTCATCGTTCTTCACTCGGGGCAATGCCTTCAGTGGGTGCCTGGCAGGAAGTGGGAACTGAAGGATGTATCGTTTTGTGTCTCCCTTTGTAACTGTAGCACCACAGTTACAACTTTTTAACTTGGGGTGTATCTGATAAATCCAGTTGCCAAAGCCACGTGGCTTTGCTCATGTCCGGGTCTGTCATCTTTTCCAGATGCTGTTTTCCTCATCCTATACAAGGAGCTGTATTACAGGCACATCTACGCCAAAGTCAGCGTGAGTGTTTGCCTTGTGTCGTCCTGTTGGTTGTTTGCTGGCTTCTACCTGCCATCAAATCTGCCAAATTTTGCTGCTACCCCAGCATCAGTGGCTCTGTAATTTTTGTAAGGCAGGATTGGGTGGGCTGGTGAGCTGTAAATCCGGTTGCTTTAGGGAAGCTTAAAATTCTTGCCTTTTAATAGCTTAGTAAGGATTTGCTGATTGCTGGACAGCAAGAAAGACTGAGCTCTGAAGCTCATTAGTTGCTTCCTTAAGCTTAGTAGTGATGAGTATGCAGGTTTCACTGGTAGCTTCTATGAATCAGAAGACCTGGTGTGAGTTTTCAGGAGGCTAGGATGCAAAAGTTTGATACTGACATCAAATGTAGTGGTTAATGAGGTAGGGAAGAAAGGTGATGGGATGTAATTGGATTTTCTTTTTGATAGAGCTTTAATTGCAAGACCTATAGATCATTTGGGTTTGTGTGCTGCTTTGTGGCTCTTTGTTCTTCAGATTAGCAGGTGGGTGAGAGGGAGTGTCACAAGAGGAAGGTGCATTATTTGTTTTTAAAACAGACACATGCAGTCAGACTGCCTTGTGGGGAGGAAAACGAACACCATAATGGATACAGGAGAAGGAATAATGCTCTATAAACCAAAACAAACCCCATTTATTTTTTTCTTAAGCTAATTCCAAGTCAATTATAATATCACAGTAGTCCTTGGTTCTTTCAGGATAGAAGCTGAACAGATGCATGACTTAAAGGATAAATAAGCAATAACTGCAGTTTTGGTGTGGGCCAGAGGGTGGAGAAGTGGGCACTTTGAAAAAGCAACTCTTATTAACCTGAGTCAGAGACGGGTTTCTCAGGTTTCTGTGCTCTTAGTGGTTCTCAGACTGTCCTCAAGTATCTCCATGTGAAACAAAGAAGATCATCCTAGGAAGTGTGATTCCCTCCTGTGTTTACTGGTCTTTCAAAATGTTTAAAATAGTGTTCAGAAGCAGAATTGTTGAATTTGTTACGGCCTTTCAGGAGGGGAGAAGGAAGGAGAGCTGTTAAAGATATGAATTAGGAAGCTCTTAAGTTCAAGTAAGGTTAATGCATCCTGTTCACAGAAGGCTTGAATACTCAGTCATCCTGTATGTGAAAAGTCAGCCCTATTTTGTGGGACAACAGTGATACAGTTTCATGATTTTCAGGATGGTGCTGGTGGGTGTCCTGGGTGAATATTGTCTCCGTTTCTGAAATAGACCCTCTACTGCTGTGACTGCTGTCTGCCCATAATAAACTCCTGCCATGCTCAAAACTAAGGAGCCTGTGCTGACTTCTCATTGCAGGGGGGCCCTACACTGGAGCAGAGATTTGAATCCTATTACAACTACTGCAATCTCTTCAACTACATCCTCAGTGAGTTGCTATGATTAATTTCTGGTTTATGAATTATGGAAAGAGTAGAGCTGAAGGAAGGGTCAGAAGAACTAGAATGTGTTATGATCTTACTGGGAGAAACAGGCTGTGGGCTTTCCATACTTTTGAGTTTGTTGGATGAAGAACACTTTACATCCCTGTATTTCAAACCACAGCTACTGCAAATATTTTCCAGTGCTTTCTGAAACACTGTAAGAATAAAACTTATTTAGCTGTCAGTGTTTCTGAGAACTGCTTCACCTATCTTTATTAAAAACCAAAATAAAGCTGTAAGCTAGAGAAAACTTGCAGGGTTTCACAACTGCTTATTCTTGTTGACCCCCCTTGGAACAAATGCTAATCTTACTGAGTTCCTGACTGAGTTCTTTGGGAGAATAGATGTGTGTGGATAAAACCCTACAGTGTGTGCACAGCTTCTGGGAATCCCTGCTGCTGAGCACTTGTGTTCTAGAGATTATTAACCCCATACACACTTACGTGCTTTAAAAGTGAAGGCAGCTGAGGTAGCCGAAGCCACACATAACCTCCCTGTTGGAAGCTTCATTCATCTGCTGCTGCACCTGCCATTTCAGGGCAGTTCTAGTGTTCTTTAATCTGTAATCTTCCAGTTCTGACACTGTTCTTTCTCAGGGTGTTAAGTTTCTCATTTATTACTTCTGTTCTTCCACAGATGCTGATGGCCCTGCTCCTCTGGAACTGCCCAACCAGTGGCTCTGGGATATCATTGATGAATTCATATACCAGGTATATGACTATGTGGCTGGGTCACTTTGGGGTGGGCTTGCCCCTAGCATGGCTATGAATTTTCCATCTCCTCCCCCTCTGTCATTTTCATAACTAGGATACCCTTGCAGGTCAAAAAAACTTGGGTGAGCACTGTTATTCCTGGGTCACCAGGTAGATGAAGTAGTTATAAATGTACAGATTTTTAAGTTACATGGAGCTCTCTGAGGTGTCCTGGACTTTGGTTGGTGTTTGTTTCAGTTGTTGCTTAAGGTATCTTTTTTTTAAACTCACCTTCAT